CAAAGCCTGACTTCAGAGTACAACCATTCCAGAATCGTTCATGAAATTCACTGCTAATTACATTTGGTCTTTCTGGGAATTCCCTCCATATGTAAATGGACACTCTTAATGTCGAGTGCGCCATCTACATACTCGGGTGGAATATCGTAGTGATCAGTGTGCCAACATCTCTGCAATATCGTTATTCATATCACTCACACGGTCCTTACTAAATGCGAAGCAAAAATGATTCTAAAGTTAGATTCCGAGAGTTGAGGAGTTTTCTGATCGATTGGTGGTAATTCCTCGTAGTACTTTTGGTGATAAGTGTTTAGAATTATGGACGAAATTTCATAATTAAACAAGTGCGCATGTGAATCTGATTTTCTTGTTAATTCCATTTACAGTCTTTCACTACTCAAACTTACTGGTGATAGTTAAGAAACGAACATACCGGGTGCGTGTTATTCGGATAGCCCTGAAAAGTTCACCAGTGTCATCGAACATGGAAGTGAATCAAACAGAGTAATGTCCATGTAGAAATAAACTCACTGTGGTGGTATCGAAACTAACCAGATCACAGTTGTGTGTGATTTCAATGAAGGGTTCAATTGCTAAGAATTCATCTTCTTCACCGTACACCATGAAAAAGCCATCTTTTCCACTTGTGGTCGTATCAAGTAAATCGTGTGGGCTAACTGAACCAAAATGATGTTATTGTAAACATCGAGAATTCCTCCTCAACCGCCGTTCCCTAATGGTTGTTGGAATGTTTCCGAGTGCAGATATCGGGCGTTAGTTTAGCAACAAGTTCAGAAAATGAATATTGTCATCTTTGGTTAATCATTACTAACTGATCTATGATTTCGAGTGACTTTTTTGAGTCAAGTAAAAAATGTCATCGAATTTAAAAGTAATATCGTTCCGTGTACAACTCCGATCTTTTAACGCAATACACTGCCCAGTTGAGCAATCTGTTCCAAGCACTCACAATAATCACGATCCCAAAGGGTGATCGTCATATTTGGCCATGGTTTAGGTTTTCTGCCGCAATAGAGACGTCCAAAAACTCTTATACTTTGGACTTCACCAAACGTGCCATCGATCATCGTAAGCGCGATTATCAATCCAACGAATTGCAGTGCCATATCACCTGTGTACATAATTATACAGTAATATGAACTGTTGCTGGAAAATAATACTTCCATATCCTAATTTTATGAATTAATCTTTTTCACCGGATCCTCATTAGCAAGGCAGAAACCTTCAACGTGACAGGAAAGCCACGAATGGAGGTAATGTGAATAAGAATAGGTATGAAATTTCGTCTTCTGAGGCGACTGCTGACTGGAAAAACGGATCGAAGAGAATGAAGATTTGGTAGGTGCGGGTAGGGGTTGGCTTAAGGATGACCATAAGATTGTAAACTCGAATGGGTTGGATGGTCGTTGAGAAGAGAAATATGGATAGGAAGGATATTGTAACCGCCACTGCACGAACGGTTGAAGGTTTAAACGATGACAACGATCAAGACAAGCATTAACCATATATACAGTCGAGGACAGTGCTATGTCCACTACCGTTATCTGTTGTTGATATAGAGAAATATGAACACGAAGAATAGTCCTACATTCACTCTGCACACCACACTTGTAATTCAATTCATTTCAATTTCTGTTCTCAAGCCGTAAGGCCGTCACAAGTACCAATTCGTTTTGTCACTATTCTTAACAATATATATATATTTTACTGCTTACTTTCTTAAAATCTCTTATCTATTTCGCTCTATTCTTTCAACAAAACATCACTACCACCTTCACCATATGCATTGTATCGATATAGTTAGGCTTTATAA